CGCGAAATAATTCATCTAAAGGTGTTACTTGATAAAAATATTAGAGAGAGGGGGAGGAAAAACAACACACACACACACACACACACACATCATTTACATATGAAAGAGATTGTATCTCGTTTACATACAAATCATTCAGCTTCAATGGAAGACGCGATAGATACCATCGCGTCAGTATGCATAATTTGATTTAGCGAAACATGCCCGGGAGTTCCGTATCATCTGCCAGAGTCCGATTGCGCGTGAGTACGGACTTCTCCTCGTATAATCCGGTGAGGATAGTTATAAAGGTGGAAAACGCAATCTCGGCAATAGCCATTTTCTTATTCAGCGGAGGGATTACTCGCGCGCCCACTGCCGCCATTAATGGCACCGCGTGAAATCCAGCGATTTAATTGAATGTAGGTAGCGCGACGACCGTTGGCATACATTTTAATTCTGCAGACAGGCGGCTTGAATAGGCCTTCAGTCTTTTCGCACCTCCGCGCCCCGGTGACTTCGCTTTAAAAACCGACGACTAAATAATATATATCACAGCGGCGAGAGCGAGCGGTAAAACAGTTATAAAAACACCGGCAACTACGTTAGAATCAATTATTTAGAATGTACAGCTCCGTAAAGAGAGAGTAGACCAGTCGTAAAGGGGGCGAAAGAAAGTAGCGCTTCTTGGACGGGTTTGACGGCAGAAGAGAGAGGCGGAAGCTACCGCGGGAGTTATAAAGGTTGCAGTTAAAAGTTCCTTGAATTATCAAGGGATTGACTAGCCGATGACATAGTCGACGGCTTATTTTAAAATGACACGCTGAAATTTCAATTCCGTGATATCTATCACTCTGTTAGCTATAATGAGCTCTATTTCTAATTGGTTGCGGATTGATCCTTCCAGTTTTCTTCAACATAATTGATTATTAATCGTATTTATTTGCAAAAATAACCGGCTGATTCGTTCAACTGAAAACTTTTTTACATCTTATAGATTTAATATATAATAAATGAAAGAGAAATTTACTTTTTTTTCAAAAGAACTCCATATTGTCTTTCAGTTGTCTTTAGAAATTGTATAGGAATCCTCTGTCTCTATTTAATTTAATGAAAAGGAATAAAAATCACCAAACACGGCACGTGATTGGTGATAAATAATATGTTAATAAATAATACGTTTAATGAAGAAAAATGTTTATTTACGATTATATACTCAAATGTTGAGGTAAAAGTAATAATAAAAATTTATATATACTTGAGAGACATCCGATATTTTATACGTACGAGTATGAGACAGAGTATACAGAGTGCGTCAATGCATTGTCATATACGACATGTTATAGGCATATAATTATATTCAGGATGTTTTTATTGCTCTTCTTTAATTATTTCGTTGCATCATCTTTACATAAAGGTGTCAATGTCTCGAGATCAGCTGAAGTAATAAAAAAGTTTGTCGCTAACGGATCTAAACTATCGTGCGTGAATTTTTGTAAATTATTAGAAAGCACATATAATTTTCGAGACTCATTATCGATAACTATATCCTGAGGAAACACCAATGTTGTGTTGTCCTGCGCCACTAATTCTGTAAATCAAAATTACATATGATGTACATTTATTCATTATATTGTAAAATACGAGTTTATTAGACAATCAACTAGATTTTGATTATTTATTATATATTTAATTTTGTTAAAACATTTTTAATTGCTGTTAAATGATAAGGATAGTAAAGTATTTTTTAAGATGTAATTTTGCTATTTGTAAACGTGGACTTTAGAGACATCTCTGATGAAATATATGAACTTCATATCTTTGTATACCAATCAACATTATAACATTTTGTATCGAATGATACACAATAGAGTAAAATTTGACTAAAAATTTCTTCAACTTTATTACTTATAAAATATAATGCGCCAAGAAATAAATAATTAAATATTATCAATTAATAAAAAATTTAATAAGTGAGTATAAAATTTAATAAAATCTTGTGTCGTATGAAAGATTTTATTAGACAAGATAA